GTACAGAAATTTGTTCGGAATGAATTTTTACTTGTTCGATGCATGAATTACAAACCTTCAAATTCATATTCATAAATATAAGTTATTGATACTTGGATCACGCAAGAATAAAGTACGGTTAACTGACTTTTGAATCATAGTGCAATTTTCGAGCGTTTTCGTATAAAATTCAACAGAATTTTAGAGTTATGAGGACCGGTCCAAACCCTTACCAACTAGAGTCTGGATAGAAATGGGCCCTAAAATTTAATATTTTATATAAAAAACACGACACCAAAGTGATGTAGATCCCCAAAAAGAGCAGCTTTTTTCTCCTTATCGAAACAAATTTTAATTTATATCGCTTCAACATCGTGTTTTTCACGCAAAGAGGCTCCAAAATTTAGTCTTTCAAACCCACAGCCAAGCCAAATAACCTCGCTGTTATTTCTCTTTCTGGACATGGATAAAACTAAATTTCACAGAATCATTTAAAATATAAAACTAATATTTAATTTCTAATAAAAATATCCACGTTAAAGCTAATGTTTCTTCTTTGAAATTCGATCTAAATTATTATTCTTTACGGTAGAAAATGTTGAAGTATTAATCACGTAAAGCTAAAACCAGATGTCGACCCGTATTATATACAAGTTTATGAATTACTTTGACTCCCACACCATTTTGTTTTTTTTTTCTAACTCGTGGATGGCACCTTCATCACATGAAGGCCATTCAACTTCTATCCAGCAGGTGTCACGTATGAAAATTAGGCCTCCTCCTCACTGTGAGGTCACTGCTCTTGTCTCGTTGGTCATGGCTTGTGACGCATGCAACCATAAAGAATTACGTTATAAATTCTAATTTTATGTATATAAGCTTGTTAGATAAAAATGCCGTCACAATATAGTCATATATTAGAGAAATTCGGTGGAAGAAGTAATCTATTGTATATATAATGAATGCCGCTCACGAAAATCATTTAAAAATGGAAATGTATGAATTACAGATCCTTAATTTTTAAAATTAAATTTAATTAAAGTTAGATGATAAGTGTGATTAAATTTAATTAAGTTTTTTCCATGTAATTTAATGCTTTAGTCATTAAAAAATCTCAAATTTAAAATTAATATTGGAATTATTTTTGTCCTACGCAAATTTTGTGTTAAATTGAAGATTAAATTATATAAATTTCCCGATTTTTAATGAAAAATTCGTTTTAATAGTAAATTTAATTGCAATTTTTTCTTTATTTAATACTGTTTTCATTGATAATTTCACCTATTAAAGTTAAAATTGAAGTAGGAAATGGAATTAATTTTACTCACAAAATTCCTATTTTGCTTGAAGAATTTGTCACTTTTTAAATATAATTTTCACTGAAGATTTCATTTTTTAAAGTTTAAAATGAATATAAAAGAAATAATTTACAGGCATACACAATTAAAGATATACACAAAATTCTATTGTAGTAAATAGAATTATATAAATGACAGTATCTTTAATGTGAAATTCACTTTAATGTGCTCGAAAGCTATATAAAATCGAGCTTAATTATAATATTTTCATTAGGAATTTAGGGTGTTTTAAAGTTAAAAAAACAAAGCTAAGACGTTCGTGAAATATTTAAATTACAATACTTTTCGTGCTCCATTAGGTTTTCTTTTCAGTCTGGCATGGTTTCTTTTCCCTACCCTAGTTCACATACTAGTTTTTAAAGCATTTTTCTGGGTCGTGGTTCGACATATAATGATTTGTTTGTGTTCAAACAGAAAGTCCGTGAAGTTTTCAATATGATATAGAATAAAATATCTCCACCTTTCATAAATGGACCGTGGTGTTCCGTTCTCAATGTCACAATAACAAATGATAATAAATATTAAAAAATTCTTTTACAATTGCCTTTATATTTGATTTAACGTTATTAAATATTTAATAAATAATTTTATTATTTATTAAATTATGCCAAAATTATTATTGCAATAAATTTGTTGGAGATGCAACAAAATGGGTGACGGTTGTGGGTGGATTTTGATCACTAGCGCGTTATCCTATGGCCAAAAAGGGCAATTGTCTGGGTTCCCCACCAGCAGGGGCCCCAAATTTAGGCTTCAGATATGGTCCAAATTTAAATTTGAGCCACATCTGGAGACTCTAGATTGCTAGTATAGCATAGGCGGAGGGTGCATTGGCGTATACTGAACTTGTTACCTGTGCCTAGAACCATCACTGATTATAATTTAAAAATTAAAATTCTATTTATATATGCGTTATTCGTGCTTCGTGATTCGAATTTTAGAATTGTTATCAGGAAAAATTTATCTATAATTAGATTTCTTACAGTATATACTGAAAGATTAAATCTCTAGATTTTTTAAAACTTTACTTGTCTAAAAATTTTAATTTTAGAACTTAAAAATGGTAAAAACTGAAAAGATTATTTTGATATCTTTTTACCTGAAGAACAAGTGTTTGCTTATCTTTAAAATAAAATAAAATACAGTAAAATTATGCCACGAAACCAGTTATCAGTTTCGAATTGGCTATACATTTATTTTCTTAACAAATAAATAAATCAGTTGTACTGAAAAGAAAAGGTAATACAATTTTCAATTTTTACTGTTTTCTACTCTAAAATTAATATTATTCTTTCTCAGAAGGAAAATATGACGATCAGTCAAAAAAATGAACCACCAAGATTTTACATTTTTGGACTCTGAACCTCGAAACGTCTTGAAAAATCCCCAAAAATGTTGGGGATTTTTCTATATGCATGGATGTTTATGTGTATGGGAACACAGTTTTGTTCACCCATTTTAAAATTTAATAACTCCTGTTTCTTTTGTCGAAAATTTCTGAAATTTTACAGGGAAGTTTGTGTATTAGGAGCATTGGTGCTATTAAATTTTGGTGATTAAATTCGAGAGGATGGAGAGATGAGGATCGTGTCATCTCTCGAGTAGGGTCGGTTTATTGGAAGTAAATGAATAAATAAAATATACGATATAACGAAACTCTGAATAACGGACACTAATAGGACATAAAAACTGGCCGTTCGGAAAAATTATATGGATAGGGTCAGGTTTAGACTTATTACAACAATATTCTATAACATAGAAAAGCGCTTTTCTTCGAAATAGTGGTTCAAGCTATGTTAGTAATTAGTATAGTGCAGGGGTCAGCAGTTTGTCAAGTGAGAAGAGTCAAATTATCATGAAAACAGGATAAGAAAAATACCAGAGAGTCGCATGTTAATTTAAATGTGCGAAATACGACACACGACAGGGACGCCTCTAGTGGACGTTTTTGGCATAACGTTACACGGATGGGCGGACACGCGTTCAATGTGTTATATATATAGATATTCTTCAAATGCTACCACTCTTATGCGACTCATATTGATCAACGCTAGTGTGGTCATGTGCGGACGGCGTACGAGTCGAAGTTTGTTCGGCGGCTCTATCTCATAAATTCATAAGTTATAAGGCTGTGGTGAAATGAGGAGAGGTGAAATTGGAGTTTATGTCCGAAGAGCCGCATGCGGCTCGCGAGCCGCTAATTCCTACCCCTGGTATAGTGGATCCTAGTTAAAAGTGACTCTGCTATTCTATCGAATAGTGTGCCAAGCTACAATATTGAAGAGGTCTTCGCTATTAATAAGACCAAAATTATACATGAATAGTCTTATGTAATAAGGAAACGTCACATGTGTATATAGTAGTAGTAGTATATATAGTTATAGTAGATATCACATAATTTTTTCTTAAAGACGGAACTAGGCCCTAAGTTGTATCCTGTATTTAGCTTAGGTGTAAATTCAGTTGTGAATGTAAAATATAAAATTAAAATCAATAGGAAACTTTTGTACGATTTTAAATATAAATTAATAATTTTATATACAATGTCTCAATAAAACAATAAATATAGGTTAATAAATTGTAATGTAATCTCCATTCCTTCCCCTAACAATTAGGTACGACAATAGCAATGAAGGACGTGTTAGAAAAATATATACAGTACAATATATTAATATTGTAATTCAATGTTTGTTGATAACTGTTAAACAAGCAAGTGATTATGATGTAATTTTACAATATTTTTGTTATGAACTTTCCATTCAATATGCTGAACTTATTTTTAAATAAATAACAATCAAGTTATTAGCATAACCAAGGGTACAGGTGTCCTGGTCCCCTTACCTTTATAAATAAATTAAACGAAGAAAAACTCAATCAAGGATAAAGATTTGAATGTGACAAATGCACTTATACATATGTATACACAACATTTAAAAATTTACTTTCATTCACAGTGGTACTGTGGGTGAATATAGGTTTGCGTCTTCTATAAGGACCTTACTATCGTTTCTATTTGCTCTATTGAATCAGCTTTGAGAGAGGTGAGATGGGGCACGAGTTAGACACAAGTGTGGGACCTCATCCTTATTCAAAAATTATGAAAATTATACAGTAAAATTAATAAAATAAAATAAAACAGATTTTTCATCTTTCACCGGAAAAATTTTCAATTATTATCGCTTTCATATCAATTGTTTTACACAAATAAATAAACTTTGAGGTCTCTTTATGTCCCGGGCCTTAACGAAGTTGTTCTGATACTGATTTTCTTCGATAATATACAGATCATCAATACAGCGAAATGCCTGTATGGATCTGTTAATAAAAATATTATTCTGTACAATCTGTACAACATCGTAAACATAAAATATTTAAGAAAATTTAAATTTACTTTAATAAACATAAGTGAAATAATGCTTGTTATTTCAAGAAATATAAAATTAAATTTAGGAATTCTAATTATTTCACAAGCTTCACGTATTTAACCTTAAGACATCGCTTAATGTTAAGTGGTACACCTTGACCTCCTTTACAGCTGTCATTATGTTAATGCAAATGAAGATTTTAAATTATATTAGAAATTATAACTTTTAAAATTTTATTTTATTGATAAATAAAAGAATTTATATTTTAATTATTATTATTATTATTTTTTCTTTCAAGCTCAAATTTGTCCACAACCTGCGATACCATTATACGCGACGGTGGCACTTTCTAACGAAAATATAACAGCAGGGACCGCTGCTACTTATACGTGTGATGATGGCTATCAATTATTTGGGTGAGTATAATATATTTAAAATTATTTTCTAATTATTGATATAAACATACCAAAATTGTTCTTTTTCTTTTGAATTTTTTTTCTATTTTGTGGGCCTCAAAGGGCCTTTATCGTGACCATTATAAGTTCGGACGGGATCATAAAGGGGTGGATAATATGGGATGGAACCAAATCACGAATTTAGCAAATGATTGGATCAGGGCTTATAATTTCCATTACAAAATATTCTCACCTGTTAATTAGGTGAATTATTTTGTCGTTAATATCTGAAAACGACGATCTAAAATAGTTTTTCACGATTTTGTCCTTGGATCATTGATGGTTTCGAAAATTCCTGAAGGCCAAGGTCTACCTACACGTTGTTGACATCCATCTGTTCCTACCATAAGGCCGCACTTTAAGAATAACCCATATTCTTATTAATGAAACAATACTCCATACCGTGTTATGTATTGTAATATATCAGTTTTATGATATCAGAATCCAAAATAACAAAGTATATTAATTAGAGCAGATTCTAGATTTTAATCTAATCAAGAACCTGTGGGATAAACTGGTTTGTTTGTTTGTTGGTATTCGACAACGCGACACGTGGGCGACCTATCGAGGGGAAAGTCTACTGGGAGGACTTTATATGGGAAACTGGCCCCTGTTACAAACGTGAAGAAAACCCGGAAAACTTCACGTGGCCAGCCCGTTGGCCGGGGGGGGCGAACGGGTTGGCCACGTGGCACTCTTACTAGTATTCAATGATGTTATCCATTCAGCCGGGATTAACTGGAGTCGAGTGAATGAGAGAAGGAGCCGATAAAAGGACAATGATAATCTTAATAGCTTTTATAATCTTAATTTAATGATAATCATCTTTTAAATTTGTCTTTTTATTTCTGGCTCTTTCTGCTCTGTGGATACTAAGAGGACCTTATTTTTATACGGATTATACCCATTGTGGGCTCAATCAGATCATAGGAATTATCTTCAATTTATTAATTATAGTTATTTCAGAATTAAATATATTAAAATTGAAGTAAAATTTAATTAAAATTATTTTATTTTCTATAAGAGTTCTTAGAAACATTACCATTCTAAAGATAACTTGCGTATCTTTCAAAGAATTCATTATTCTATAAATAGAAAAGATTCTTTTGTCTACGCTTTTATAACATTTATTACCGTATTTTTCGGATAATTTGACACGATTTATTCTTAGAAAATAAATCAATAAATTGCTTTCAAAAGAAATTTTTATGAATATCCTTCATTTAGAATCAATGCAACAACTTGAGAATTTCCCCAATGCTTAAGAAGAATGCATTTCAGTTGCTCTTAATTTTTTTTTATAAGTGAACAATTATTCATTTGAATAAAAAATAATCTCATGTTTGAATTATTTAAAATAATAGAATAATAATAATATTATTATTATGAGCCATGATCATTCAATCAAAAATGGATGTAAGAAGGACTAGCTTATAATAATGTTTTATTAAAACAAAATTATATTTAAAATGAAATATAAAATGTCAATAAAAATTCAATAGATACGTAGAATTTCAATATTTTTTCCAGAATTTTAATTTTCTCAAATGTGGATGATCTTACAAGTGTAAACTCTCAGTATAAAATTACCATCAATATATAAGAAATATTAAATATACTTTGGAGCAGTGTTTTGGGGTGTATTGCTTGTATCGAATTTATAAATGGGGCCGGATATACACATAGCAAAACAGGACTTCGCTTAAGGCCACCCTCTTTTAAATTTATTATTGTTAAATTTATTGTGGGACTTCTTGTATATTACAATTTAAGACAACAGCAAGGATAATTCATCTCTAGAAGCTTCTTATAAGTCTAAAATACAGTATTGATTATTAATTAGTCGAATAATTACTTTTTGTATCTTTTCTCATTGTTTCTTTTTGTATTTCTTGATAATTTGACACGACTTTTCTTAGAAGTTTATCAGTAAAATATCATAAATGTACATACAAAAGAATTTCTTATATTTATAAAATAACGGATTATTCGTAAGATAAGAAGCATTATTACTTTCCCCAGCTGTTGTTACAGAGGGGAAAATATTGTAATCGTGTCATAGTTGACCCTCCTGGTCTTTTAAAATCTCGACGTTTTGCGACCCCCTGAATCCAAAAAAGTAAAAAAAAAAAAATTATTATTTCAGACAATAAAAGTATACGTTTTATTAATTTATTAATAATGTAACACATATAATGGCAGATATTTTTTTGATATAAACTTATTATTTTATTTCATTTCTCTTAACTTTTCATTAAAAGAAAGAGAAATTTTACTTTAAAAAGCAAGTAAAATTCCCATTTTATTGTTAAAAAGTGACAATATAATATCGAAAGAAAAATTTGCATAAACGATTTTTTAGAATGTCATAATATATATAAATTTAAAACAAATTTAAAAAATAGATTATTAAATGATTGATGTGTGCGTATAATACAGAGACTGAATTCATATATTAGGATACTTGTATGTGTAGTAATATACGATATACTTTGCACATATTGCTATTTCTGTGCGTATCTATTTGTGTATATTGCGTAATACTTGTGTATTGTTTGTCAGCGAAATTTGTTTACAAAGATTTAGGAGATTCCTACTTTATTGCTTACAAGTAATATAATAAGAATTCCTTATTGTTTAATTAATCTAACGTCGAGAAATGCAAAAAATTGGGTTTTTTCCCTCTATATGTATGGATATTAGTGTGTGTGAGGGGCACAACTTTGTTCACCCACTTTGAAGTTTCATAACTCCTGTGTCTTTTGTCGAAAATTTCTGAAATTTTGCAGGGAGGTTTATATATTAGAGGCATTGATGCTGTTAAATTTTGATGGTTAAAGGTTAAAGGAGTAAATAGATAGAAGGAATCGTACGTTATATCTCTAGTGGGTTCGGACTTAGCCTAATGAATATTTTACTCGTTATTAGCACTTACAATTTTTTTTTTAAACTCAAAACTAAATTTTTTTGCTATTTTATAATAAGATAATTTAGTAAAAACTTTTTATAACAGATGGCGCCACAGACAATTTTAACTTTTTGCCTGGAAAGTTACGCATCTCGTTGCTGGATTTTTTAAAATTTATTTTATTTTTCCAAGAACTGAAATCGTATAGAACAGCCACATCCGCTACTATTTAAAATTTATGAATATTATATCGAAATTATTGAATTATTCCTTTATTTTAATCAATGCCTTTATTAATAATTACAGTGAGAGTCATTTTAATATAAAAACAGTAAAAATGAATGCACACTTATGAGGTAATTAATGACATTCTTGTAATAAATCAATTTACATACACATACATATAGGTTATGTTTATTCTTGTGCATACAATGTGTATATGTGCTCGTATATCTGCCTATATACTGTTTTTACTGTATTGCAATACTTACTACAAGATTATAAACAGAAATTTTGTTGTATTAGCATTTCCAGTCTTTTGCTATCGTAAAGTACAGTAACAGAGTAGACTTGTTAATGTGCTTAATACAATCAAACTTCGATTCAACGTCATCATTTGTTCGTAATGAAAGTGACACTAAATCGAGTGTGCCGCTAAATTAAAGCATCTCATGCGATAAGAATTACATATAAGTTAGTAATGAGATCTACACTCAAGTTTGAGTTTGGGATTTTTAAAATCACGTGATTTTGGTAATAATGCTACTGTTTTCAGTTCGAAATCGTATATTTAGTAATTCACACAATGAGTTTCTATTTATTATTTATGGAGGAAATTCGTTCAGTATTTATTAGTGATTTACTAAGAGACTTTAAGACGACGTTATATCGAAGTTTGACTGTATTTTTAAAAGAAATATATTACATTTGACCATTGAAAGTGCGTTAGAGAGCCCATAACTAGAATTTATTCTTTTTAAAAAGTACAGAAATTATATATACACAATAACTTAGTAAGAATTTGACGTATGAAATCATACACAGTAAACCCCAAACAATGTGAGTGATACGTTTCTCATTATAAGGGGATGTTTCGCAGTTTTTTATCGCGTTATGCGGGGGCTACCTTATTTGTAAAATTATAAGGGATATTCTCATGTTCGTGTCAAATCCTTTTGTTTTCTAAGCATGTAATTAGAATAGATTTGATGTAATTTTCGTTTTATTTTTTATGTATTTTTTGTCTCCGCTCGAAGTAATAACTCCTAATTCTATGCTTAAACGTATCCCTGATGTCGTGACAGATATAATATGGAATCACGACAAATTTTAAATTGCAGAACGGGATGTGTTGGATTATAAGCAGAAACCTATTTGTATACAGGAATTTATAACAGGATTTAAGCTCTGTTTAAAGCGACTGATAAGACATTTATTTATTATTTATTTAGAAATAATAATATAAATTTTATACATTTTTAATCACAATTAATAAATTAGTTATTTTATATAATTTAATTACCGTTTCTAGTGTCATTTGCTTATAGTTTACATCTATCCAATTATAGTAAGTTGTAAAGAAGTTTCTGAGTAACTGTTTTCTTTCAATAATATTTTAATAATTAATTTAATTTATTTTTGAATTTTAAAAGTCAAACAGTAGAATTTGGTTGGTTCCCTTCTACCAAGTTGTTGGGTGGAGAACTTCATCTTATCGGATTCAAACCCGGATCCACCGCAAAAAATCATGGGAAAATCGGATTCGAATCTGTCTCAGACTTCTCCCCATAACTTCAGGGTGTCGTTCTTCATCACTCGCCCGAGCTGAGTGATCCCATTGTGAGTCAACCCCGCCCATAAGGTTTAGATTGGTTTGATGGAATATGGCAATGCAACACAGGCAGTCTGCCAAGGGAGATGCCTCCCGGTCTTTGGAAAACTGGCTCCTATTTAGGTCTTAGACACGTAAAGAAATCTGTAAAACTCCATAGGACCATCCCGTTAGTGAGGTGCAAACTCACGACCAGTATTCAGTGGTTAATCCACTCAGCCA